GTAATATCTTCGACAGGTTTTGGTATCTGAGTAATGCCAACCTCATAGAATGAGTTGAGAGGTATTATATCCTCTTCAATTTTCAGAAAGAGTTTGTTCTTATTTCTACCTAAAATGTCAGCAGTATGTAGCAGTGAAGTCACCTGGATATGGATTTATTTTGGGGGCTTTTTTTTTTTTTTTTTCTTTTAACCACATATTCCATGACTTTAACAGATAAAGGGATATTCAGTTTATCAATTTCTTCTTATGAGCTTTGATAGTTTATGTCTTTTAAGGAACTTGTCCATTTTACTTAAGTTGTTGAGTTTATATCCATAATATTGTTCATAATATTCCATTATAATTCTTTATATATCTATGGAATCCAAAGTGATGTTATTTCTCCAATTACGAAAACAAATAATTGCAATATATATTTTTTTCTGGTAGTATAGTGCCTAAGGCACTTGACTGCTCACCAAAAAGGCTGGCGCTTCAAACCCACCAGCCACTCCTCGGAAGGAAGATGGGGCAATCTACTTCCGTAGTGATAGTGCCTCGGAAACCCAAGGAGGGGTCGTTGCTATGAGTCGGGTCCGACTCGATGGCACATAACAACAACAAGAAATTGATCAAATTTATTGATTCTTTTAATGAAACAGATTTTATTTTATTACTTTTCTCTAAAAATTTCCTCTTGTATATTCCCTTGATTTTTACTTTGATGTTTATAGGTTCCTTTTGTTTACTTTTTTTTTTTTTAATTCCTAAAAGTGGAAGCTGAAGTCATTAATTTTACACTTTTATTTTAATAAAAGTGTAGAATGTTGTAAATTCCTCCCTTAGTATTGCTTTCATGGAACCACACATTTTGGGTTTTCATTATCATGCAATTCATGAAATGATGGATTTTCTTCTTGATTTCTTCTTTAACCCATGGATTATTTAGAAGTGTGTTATGTAGCTTCCCAATATTTGAAGAATTTCAAGAGATCTTTCTATTGTTAACTTCTAATTCAATTCTATTGTGGTCAGAGACAACTTCTATTTCACTTCAGTGCTATAATATTTCTTGAAAACTGACATATAACCCAAAAAATGGTCTATATGGGTAAATGTTCTGTGTGCACTGGAAAGAATGTGTTTTTGGTTGGAGAGCTCCATAAATGTCACATAAGTCAAATTGATAGAGTTGTTCAAATATTCTATATCCTTACTTGTTTTCTATCTTTTCTATCAATTATTAAGTAAAGGGTATTGAATCTACCACTATAATTTAAGATTTATCTATTTCTCTTTGTAGTTTTACCAGTTTTATTTCACATATTTTGGAGTGCTTTTATTAGATACATACACATTTACATTTTTTACATCCTCTTAATGAATTGGCCATTATGTCATTTTGAAATGACTTTCTTTTTCTAGGGAAATATGCTTTTCTCTGAAATATATTTCCTTATAATGTTAGCATGGTATACATTCTTTCACTTTTATTTATGTTGCTGAATAAAGTGTGTTTTTGTAAACATTATATTTTTGGTGTTACTGCAAATTTATACATTTTAATTGTTATTTTCAGTTTATTTACCTAAAATATGATTATACATATGGTTAGGTTTAATTCTTTTGCTATTTATTTTCCATCTGTGTTTGTTTTTTCTTTCCTTTTCCTTTTTTTTTTTACCTTATTTTGACAGAATGTTTTTATAATTCCATATTCATCCTTCTTGTTGTCTTATTAACTACAGCTCTTTCCCTTGCTATTTTTGTAGTTGCATTAGGTTTATATCATTCAGATTTAACTTTATTAGATTCTTACATGTACTTTTCCCAATGCCCATAAATTATCAGGTTTTCCAGTCTGGTTGCTAATAATGGGAACTTTTCCTGGTCTGTGTGAGAATTGGTTATTGTGGCCTATACACTTTCATCAAATTTTCTTGTGCTTATAAGTACCTGTACTTCCCTGGGTACCAAAGATCAAGTGACACTGTTGTATACAAATCTTTGCAAAAATTCATTCCTTTGGACTGGATACAAGGTCTAAATGGTTATCTGTTTCAGCAACCGTAGAGCCCATATAGACTGCAGCTATAAAATTGTAGTTATTTCATTATTATTATTGTTGCCTTTTCACAATTGAGGTTAATTTCTTTGCCTATATTCACATGACATTGACAAGAACACCTCATATGCAAATTTATAAAAGCAATTATCACAGTTTCTCATCAATAATATCTATGCATTTCTGCAATAATTATGTGGTTCTTTGAGGATAAAAGAATATCATGCTCATTCATCTTTATGTCCTCAGCATATAGAGAGTGTGAAGAAATATGACATGTTCAATATGGTTGTTATGTAACAACTTAACTAGATATTAGAGTCAAGTCTTCTGATTACATATCCTCACCATACTCTCATTTCATTAAGTCATACTTCTTTCCATCAAGTTAATGTAAAGAAAAATGAGAGTCTTATTTTTTTTTGCTAATATACTAACATTTTTTTCTTACTCAGTATTTTCCTCAATTAGCATGCTAACAATTGGGCAAGCACTTAAAATTCATGTCACGCAGAGGGAAGTAAAACATAAATCACAAGTCAAATAAAAACCAAAATATACCTTTTGTTATTACATTAAAAACATTTGAGAAATAGTTACTCAAGAGTATTTTATTTCCTCATACTGCCCAAAGACCAATCACAGGACACCTATGTAATTTTCTAATGATCTGATCATGCTTAGAGCCATCAGTTACACTCCCTCTACTTCCTTGGTATCCACATCAACTACCATTTCTTAAATATTCCTTATTTATTTATTTATTTTATTTATCTATTGCATTTCCTGATTATGTCCTATTTCATCTCATTATGCCACAAGCTTAGCAGGTGAGTAGAAAAGAGGTTCATAATGTTAGGAAAGAAAGGAAAATGGTAGTTGATAAGGTCATAGACAATAGCCATATAGTTGTTGCTTTTCTTTCTTTTTATGTAATCCCAGCACAGGACTAAAGAATATTGGTTATGGAATGAGTAAACACAATAGTCTAATTATTATATCAAAGAGTAAAAGACAATTGTTTCTAAGTTCTTGGATAAATTAACTTTAAAAAACAAAACAAAACAAAAAACTCATTCATTATTTTCTTCACTTTATTTTTCTTCGCTAAGTAACAAATTTGGGTACCCAAATTTTCCCAAGAGCTATGCAAAGATGTACCATGGGGCTTCACGGCAAGATGTTACTGAATATCATAAAGTCTTTTGGGGAAAGTTCCATCAGACTATAGGTATAGAAGTATAGTAATTAAGGTTGTGTGTCAGCTTGGCTTGGCTGTGATTTTGAGTAGCTTAGCAGTTGGATATACTTTTCTTCATGATGAGATTGCATGTGGTGTAAATACTTCCATTGTGCAATCCTGCTGTGAACAGCTAATTAGTTGAAGAGGAGTCGCCTTCATGGTGTGGCCTGCTTCCAGTATACATGGAGAAAATTTGGGGAAGGTCTCTAGTTTTCTGCTCATTTTGAGATCTTGCATTTGCCCTGTCATCATCTCCAGTTCCTGAACTTGAACCAGTGTCCTATGGTGTTGCCTGCTGATCTTGACTGTACTGCCTTTATACCCTACTAGGCAACAATTTGCCATTTTGCCTATAGATCTTGGATTCATCAGCCTCAGTAGCCAATGGGCCTAGAATAAGAGGCAGAGCTGATGCCCAAGGTCGAGGGACCTCTACCTAGAATCCAGAGAAAGTCTTCCCCTAGAGCTGGCACTCTGAACTTGAACTTCTAGCCTACTCTTCTCCTACATCCAGCACTCTGAACCCAGACTTCTAGCTTTCTGTACGAAAATGAATTTCTGTTTGTTAAAGCCATAGACTTGTGGCATTTCTGTTGTAGCAGCACTAGAGAACTAAGATTAAAAGTAGATTTGAAAATACTAAAATTCTATTAACTAATGGTGTTCTCAGACATTTGGCCATAAGGAAGATTTGTAGATAAAAGAGTAGTATAACAAGGTCATTCCATTATTCCTAAAATAATTCAGATTATAGAAATTCAAAGTAAATCTTATTTCCAAATTTTGGCATTTTCTTACACAGCATCACACATACTCTATTCTTTTTACACACACATACTCTATTATATTATTATTATTATTATTTTACTTTCTAAATGAGAAACTAAAAGGCATAACTTGAATTTCATAGATATCTAAATTCTAATATATTTTTTTTATTATTCAAATAATTTAAGCACAATGATAGTATGTTTAAAATATTTTACAATGAATTCTAGAGGAAAAAAAAACAGCAGTGCTATTAACTTATTTTTGAAAATGATAATATATGTGGTTTGGAGAAAAAAAAGGAGTATGTCAATGCTCATCTCTTTCTTAGCATGGGGTACATTTATATGTCCATAATTTAAATTTTTGAATATAAAAAGAAATTAATATTATTTTTATGCTACTTAATATCATATTTACCAGAGATTAATCAGCAATTTTCTTTTACTTGGAAGGTCATTAAATAAATAAATTTGCATTATTCAAAAGGATTCATGCTGGTTAATGTATTACCCAGAATTCCTTTATCCACAGGTCACTCTTAAAGTTATTTGACAATAATCTCAGGCAGCACTTTCAAATTTAGCCCACATAAGCCTTTCCAAATTTCAGTTAAAAAATACAAAGAGATTTAGTAGGTTATTTCTTTATATAAAATGTAAACCACTTCTTTATTTCCAGAAATCAAAAGCCTTGATGTCTTTTTACTCTGAATAAAATAATTATTTTCTAGAACTTTGAAATACCTATAATTTCCCATTTAACAGTAAATATCGCATGCAATAAACTATAGCAAAGCTTCTAAATATGTATTAAAATGACCAACTGATCAGTAATTTGCATCACTTTGCAAAAAATATTTGACAGTGAATTACTGGGTCTGATATGTACATGCTATAGCATAGTGTGGTCAGTGTCAAAAATAAAGTAAAATGCAATTACCCTAAAAGACATTTCAAGATTCTCTCCACCCCAGATATCCATTCCTGCATCGTAAGTTCCTATCTCTTCAAAGTAGTTTCTGTCAATAGAAAATAGGCCACCAGCCATAGTAGGGGTCCTAGTTGAAAAAACAAAAAGAAAAGAAAAATATCTTTTGAAAACAATGTGTGGAGTTTAATGAGATTGTAGCAAGTATTTTTGAGACACTTTAAAATTAAAAAAATACTTAAAAATCTCTAACTAGAAACTTAAAGCCAAAGTTTAAGAGGTTTTTAAAATTAATAAATAGCATTTTATTTCACATTTGACATAGAACTAAATTTCGATGAGTCTTTTTTTTTTTTTTTAGAAGTGATAAAGTAGATACATGGAATGAACACCAGCCATTATTTAAGTTTGAGGCTTCTACATTTCTCTTGAAAGCCATAGTAGAGGAAGGTTTGTACCCTTAGCCTTACCCTCAAAGTGATGAACTGATCATGAAACTACCAGTTGTGATCTTTGTCATATGATTATAAATCATTTTAATGTGAACTCTAGGAAACTGTGGACATAGTTTCTCTGTGAAAATATGAATAACCTATTTAATTATGTAAATTATTAAATGTTATAAAATATTTGTAAGAAATAAATATCTGATGATATTTTAACATAATAGCATTACATCTAATTGTTTATCTTCTGTTTACCTAATTAAAAAGAATAGACATAATCATATAGTCCAATGGATATGCATAAATCCCACATATGATTCAGCAATTTAGGAAGACATTTGGTGCAGATTCTAAAATTGTGCCCCCCCCCCCCCAGGAATAAATGTGTTTTTATCCTCATATTTGAAATTCCTCTATAGGAACTTAAAAATGTTAAGTTTCAAAGTGATTAATTCAATAAAAATAACGATTAATGAAAGAACAATACCAGCTTTTCTATGTAAGCAATGTGAATTAAAGCTAAACAAGAACATTCTAGTTGTTCTCAAATGGATCCATATTGACCAGGATTACATTTGAATACTAACAGTAGTAGTATGTTGTTGTGTGTCATCACATCGATTCCGACCCATAGCCACCCTATAACAGCAGCAGAGTGGTTCTCAATCTTGCTAGCATGCTAGCAGCACATCACACTTCTTTAAAAAAAATCTATCTCTGCTTGCATACCAACTTCCAAAAATTCAGATTTAATTACTCTGCAGTGGAGCCAGATATTTGGTATTTTATAAAGTTCCCAGGGGATTCTAATTTGTTGCCAAAGATGAGAAAAAATTATGCACTAATTCAGATTCAGAGTGACCATCCACGTACTTTGTGAGATAGTTTTAAAAAGAGAAAATAGTATTGTTTTTCTCAAAATCATATCTTCCTCTGCCACAGGTTATGCTCATATCTTCTAATTAAACCATATAATTCATTGAAAAACCACCAAATAGTATTGTACTTGGACATCTACCATATTGCAACATTCTCTATTTCTCCCAGTACTCTCACTGTTTTATACTCAGGTAATTAACTGTCCATCAGTTGGAGTAGCAAAGCCTTGCTTAGCCTCAGAGGTGTTTTATTACTTCCAGTCTTGCTGGGTTCCTATCACGCATGGTATCATTGACCTTCTGAGTTATAATGAGAAACACTAACAAAGCTAAACAGATGGTAATTATGGAGATGTCATGACCCTCACCTGATTGGGGTTTTGGAACTCTATGGCAATAACCATATAAGATATTACAGTGTGGGGTAGTCTATTTAATAAATGAGAAACAAAAATTGCTGCAATTATCCTATCATAATGCAGCAGAGTGCTTAAGAATGTTAAGTGATGCATTTTTAATGATCAGTTCTCAGTGCCTATCCACTTATCTGCTTCCTAATAAAGAACTAATGCATTTGAACTTAAATACATATATTGAATTTCTTCTTACAGTTGGTCATCATTCCTATAAATATATGAAAACATATATAATAAATGGGTAAAAATAAATTGTGCATATTTAACCATAAAAATAACTCAAGTAAATTTTACTTTACTTGAAAGTAACAAGTATAGACAACAGAGGCAAATACTATTACAGCCACAGCACTGAAGTATCACTAGCACTAAATTTCGGGCTATGGATTAATGCATAGACATTAATGCACAGATGAGAAGAGCAGGTGGGGGTAGGCAAACAGGAATACACCCTAGACCAAGGATAGATTTGGCTGAAGATTATCTTATATATGCACTTGTACTACAAAATCAGCCACATACATTACAAAAGCAACAGAAGACAAGGTGGGAGTAACTTCACAGACAACCAAACATCTTGTGAGAGAGAATCACCAGGCTGGGGGCTTGGGACCATAGTCTCAGAGGACATCATGCTCAATAAGCACATAGTTCATAAAATTTTTGTTCTACAACCTATTTTGGTGAGTAGTGACTGGAGTCTTAAAATCTTTTGAGCAGCCATCTAAGATGCAACGATTGCTCTCTCATTGGTTGGAGCAAAGAAGAATGAAGAAAATAAAAATCATCTGGAAACAATTAGTGCAAAGGTAAGATGGACCACAGCCTCCATGACCCAAGACCAGAAGAACTAGATGGTGCCTGGCTACCAATGCCAACCTCTAGGAAAGGGATCAAACCTGGAGATCCTGGATAGACTGGGAGGAAAAATATGGAACAAAATTCAAAAATACAAAAATGAACAGAATAACTGGTTGGAAAAGAGACAGGTGGAACACCTGAAACTATGGCACTGGGTTGCCCTTTGAGCCTAGAAATGGTCTTATTTAGATTGACTGTCTCTCAGCCCAACAGTAGAAAGACATACATATTGAACACCTACTGGGTCAATGCACCCACCTACTCTAGGGAGATACACCCCTTGAATCAAGCAGCCATAAGACACCAGAGGGGTAGCACTCACATAGAAGGAAGGCTGGACAGACAGAAATTCACCAATGAGAGGGACACAGGGAGGAGGTAGTCATGGGGAGGAGAAGGAAGTACAGTTTTTTATGATTTGGGATGGTAATAAGGGCCATGAAACCAGATGTGCATGAACTGTTGAATGTAAAACAAGTTTGGCATGTAAATTTGCACCCAAAGCACAATTAAAAAAAAAGTGACAGGAAAATATATGTAAGATTTCAATTCCTCAAACACAAAACAAAGCAAAGCACTTTTTCAATGTCAGTTAGCTCTCTCAAATAGACTAGTCAGCAATCTAACATGTTCTAAGATGAGTTAATTGCTATGTAATATCCCTAATACTTTATTTACATATGTCACTCCTCAGAAGGAAGGTTGGGCAATCTGCTTCCGTAGTGATACTGCCTTGGAAACCCAAGGAGGGGTCGCTACAAGTTGGATCCAATTCAACGGCAGTGAGTGAGTGTGGACTTTAAAGAGCCTTGGTTGTGTGGTAATTCAACTTTAACTACTAACTGAAAGATCAGTTGTTGCAACCCACAGCCTGCTTCCTTAATATTTATAATCCTGGAATTCCTCTGGACTAATTTTAATCTGCCTAGCAAATTAAATACTTTGATTAAAATTATTTGATTTGTAAGGTTGGTCTACATTATTTCAAACTAACTAACCAATTCAATCAATTTTGTTGGGAAAAAAAATAATCCTTATGACTGTGAACACTACGTACCGTACAGTAAGTAGATGAAGATGAACTGAGTTAATGTGAGTTAAGCATTTAGCACAGTTCCAGGCATATAACAAAAGAACAAATCACACCCACTGGCACTGAGTGGATTCTGGCACATGGTAAGCCCTATTTTGTTTCCAAGGCTGTAAAGCTTTATGGAAGTAGATTGCCTCATCTTCCTCCCAAGGAGCAGCTGAAGGGTTTGAACCACTGATCTTCTGGTTAGTAGCCAAATGCCTCACCCACTGTGCCACCAAAGCTTTTTACAAGGCATATAATAAACACTTAATAAAGCTAACCGATACGTTACATGTATTGTTGTTATTGAATTTAATTCTTTAAACAAAAACCTTTTGCATTTTTTGTTGTTTCTTATTTATGGTGTTATGTGGCACAAATGGAGAAAAAGTATGGTGAATTGTTGATTCATATGTATTACTTTTCTATCTATTAACTTAGGAAAATGGTTTCTCTCTTGTCAGGTTGTTAACTTGAGAGAGCTCTGGTTCAGCTTCATGGTGCCTTGAAGACTAAAAGACAGCCACAGCAGTAGCTTGTGCTTGAAAGATGGTACCCGGGAGAGATTTCTGGTTAAGCTGCACATTGCCTTGAAGAATCAAAGATAGTTCATAGCAGCAGCTTTTGCTTCAGAGAATCATTCTTGAGTCCAGTGCAAGGAAAGCAACACCCAACTAGCAAAAGCTCAAACACTACACACACACACACACCCACAAGCTTTATTAAAGCGAAAATACATTCTCAAAGGGTTAGATAGAGGGCATACTCCTAAAGAAGTACACAGAGCTCTGTGTAACAATCCTTTTATATTGACTAAATATTAGGGGTTGAATTTGGGCAAGACATGCTGGTAAAATTCCTTATTTCATTCTACCAATTCCTTCTCTTCTATTTTCTTTCCTGATATAGCTAATCTTTCCAGGTCAGCCATTTTAACTTTCCCATAATTCTCTCTGATTGTCATCAGGGGGGTCAAAACCACAATGCTAATTTATTATAATTGTGTGCTAGTGAGAATCTAGGTTACTTCAAAGTCATCTTGTTTGCAACTTGTCTTATTCTCCTGTTCAGATGGTTAGAAAATGTGTCCTGTGGACAACTCTTGTGGTAGGAACTAAGGTTTGAAGCTTGAAGCTTGGGCCCACTGAGGCTGCGAAGCCAGAGCAGGTGTACATCATTGACCCACTCCCCCCACCACACCCCCACCCCCAGAGGCTGGAAAGCCAGAGCAGGGCTTAGGGCCCATTTCATGATTCTGACTGCCTAACAAGTGTCTTGGGTGCATGTCCTGGAGTTATCTACAGTGATAGGTCAAGGGAGATGAGATTTGCATGCACACGTCTCTGTTCCTCTCCCAAAATGAGTACCTCAGTGATTTTCTGCTGACCGTAGAAGATGTTTAACGTGTCACTTTAAAAAGATCAATGTCTTGCTTTAAACTACAGAAGAGATTA